AGAGGAGAGGAGAGGAGAGGAGAGGAGAGGAGAGGAGAGGAGAGGAGAGGAGAGGAGAGGAGAGGAGAGGAGAGGAGAGGAGAGGAGAGGAGAGGAGAGGAGAGGAGAGGAGAGGAGAGGAGAGGAGAGGAGAAGAAAGAAAGAGAGAGAGAAAGAGAGAAAGGAAGGAAGGAAAGAAGGAGGGAAGGAAAAGGAAAAGAAAAAAGAAAAGCAGGGATTTGTCAGCAAGCCAGATAAAATGTACAGACACTAGGTGAGGAGACTTGAGTCAAGATGGGTGCCTGCCTGGGGCAGGTCTCTGTGACCTGGTTGTCCTCCCACTGGGCCCCTCTCTTGGACATCTGGCACTACAGACATTGAGAGAAGCCAAGGGAAGTTGAGGGATGAGGTGACCCCCCCCCCCGTTTGGCCTGACTAGGGGTGTTCAGGTGACAAATCCACCAGCTCTTGCAACAAGCTGAGCTCACTGTGCACGTCTGTCCAGGGGGATGCCTGACCCAGGCCGGCCGTGGCATGTGACGCTCTCATGTTCCCACGGGAAGAGCTAGGAGTGGGCAGCCCAGATTGGAGAAAAGAAATGCAGATGCTGTCAACTTCCATGAGCGCCTCCCTGACTAGGGGTGTTCAGGTGACAAATCCACCAGCTCTTGCAACAAGCTGAGCTCACTGTGCACGTCTGTCCAGGGGGATGCCTGAACCAGGCCGGCCGTGGCATGTGACGCTCTCATGTTCCCACGGGAAGAGCTAGGAGTGGGCAGCCCAGATTGGAGAAAAGAAATGCAGATGCTGTCAACTTCCATGAGCGCCTCGTCCTGCCCTGAGTGACAGGCCGGGAACCTACAGAATGGCATCTCGTGACCTTTCCCGTTGGGCAGAACTGGGCGGGCCCTCCTGACAGCCATGAAGAGCAATCAGAAGTGCTTTTTTTCTTCCTTTTTTTTTTTTTAAAGAAGTTTTTATCTTAAGGCTTGTGTGCTCGCCAAAGGGAGAAACAGAGACAGTAAGAGGGAAGGTGAGAATTCCCCCCCCCCCCAGCAAATATGGCCATGCCACAATCTCTTCTCCTCCATCTTTATCTTGGGATTTGGGGCACACATGCACATACGCCCAGCTTGAGTTTCAAGCCACAGGATCCAGGACTCGAACCACAGTCAGCCATGTGGAAATCCAGCCACATGCTGCGACATGATCTGCTGTCCCAGAAGCTCTAACTCTTAGCTGCCAAGTGAGGACTAAGGCTCTGGCAGAAGGGAGAGGTGGCATTGTTCGTATCACCCAAAGTGCCATGCACCTGTGTGACATAATGTCCTGGTAGGGTGGTCTTGCAGGCGTTAGGCTCATGTGACACCGGCTCATGCTGCCCGGAACAAATTTACATGTAAACAGATTAGAGGTCACCGCTGGGACAGGTGACAGATATTGCCAACATCTGCCTCACGCCTGTCGGATCTAGGCTCTGGCCTCTCCTACACCCTGCTTCAACGTCCTCAGAACCAGGACCCAGACCACCAACTCCTTCACACATTCTATCTGGCATTTTAATGACTTACCAAAAAAGTTTATCTTCTTTTTTTTTTCCATTATAAAATTAAAAAGAAAGAATAAGAAGAGAAAAATAGTCACTGAGTGGGTAATTCTTTGCAGCTCTGTACATGAAAAGATTCTGATGAAAGCAACAGTAGGAACACACAGTAAACGACTCCACCCTGAGACTCATGCCTGCGGGTCTCTCTTTCTCTGGGTTAGTTATATATGCTCCAGTTCCACACTGTGGAAGGTCCTCGAGGTCCTCAAGGTCCTCGAGGATAAAGGCTAGGTCTTCTCATTTAAGACTCCCACATGCCCACAGCACCTGGCGGCCTGTCCTGTGTACGTAAGCACCCCAGTGGACATTGTCACCAGCTCTCCCTGCAGTCTTTTGCAAACTTACGGGTGGGTCTCAGCAGCATCTAAACATGACATCTTCGAGAGCCAGAAGAGAACAGGGCCAGATAATGACACAGCAGTGAAACACCACGCTCAGCAAGGCAGGCCCCCATGGGAGGGTTCCAGGCTCATACCCTGAAACCTCCCTGAGTATTCCGAGCATGCGCATGCCCATGATCCAGGGCTGGCTGCTGGCTGAGGGTGGGGGTTGATTGCAGCACGAGGGCCCTGCTGGAGGGTGCTATCGCTGTTACGCTCTGTCACTCTTGCTCATGGCAAAAATAAATAAATAAACTTGAAAAAAAAAATGTAAAAGAGAAACTTCTAGGAATCTAACATCAAGAAATAATCCAAAATACAAACACGGCTTCAGACCCGGAGAGGCTTTTCTCTGCATTATTTATTGCAGCGACATGCAGGAACAATAGAAGAGTGAGTGAGTAAACTGTAGGGTGATCATACAATGGGACAT